CCCCAAAACCCCAAAACCCCAAAACCCCTGTTGACTAATATAGAACAGATTCTGAGTTTTACAGAGAAAATAAAAAAGTTGGATATAAATTTATTAAGATAAAATAAAATGGACTTAATCTTGGACAATCTCTATCTAGGAGATCTGAATGATGCATCAAACTATTACAGATTATAGCAAATGGTAATTACAAAAAATATTAACCTCTTTAAATAGGGGGTAACTCATATACTTTAAGTAGCCGCTGGATTCAAACCTATGTTTCCCAAGGTAAGTTTAAAATGCTGTTCATAAAAACTCATGTGTTGTATATTAATAATGGTTTTAAGTTTTTATGTCCTTAAATATCCTTATTTGATATCTTATCTAATCCTTGTAGGAATTCAGATACAAAGTAATTAACATCTTAGATATGCCATATGTCAATATTATGAAGCATTTCCCTACAGCTATCTAGTTCATCAAAGAAGCAATCAGCAGTGGGGGCACAGTCTTAGTTCATTGTTATGCAGGTATTTCAAGAAGTGCCTCTTGTGTGATTGCATATTTAATGCAAGAAAGTAGCATGCCTTTCTTTGAAGCAATGTCTTATGTAAGAAAGCGCAGACACATTGTGTTTCCAAACTTTGGGTTTTAAAGACAACTAATGGACTTTGAAAGGCTTGTCAAATCAAGACAACATCATCAGGCCTAATCATAATCACCTAATAAAAAACACTCAGAAAAACTTTCACTTTCAAATCAAAAGACAGATAAGTATTCTACAGCAGTGAAAACATAGCAAATTTCATAAATTTTATCATCAGATACGAAGCCATAGAGAAAATAGAGTGATAATATCTTAACACATACATAACCATAGCTTTAACCTCTGAGCAAGATTTATGCATCTTCTTTTCAAGTAAAAAAGCAAAATAGTGAATAATAGTCGTCTTAAACTTAACCTGTATCATTGATAGAGTCTCGTAGACTTACCAATGCACCGAATGATATACCCAATATTTAAATCAAGAATAGAAACCTAAGAGCTTAATCATAATATCATGATTAAAGATAAGAGGAAAACACTCCCCAAGTAAGATAAGTTAAAGGTGCTTCTCTGTCTCCAAAAAAAAGTAGCAATAATCAAGATTAAATCACATCTGAGCCTTATTATAATACACCACAACAGTAACCAGCTAAAAAGTTATTAGGCGACAATGGTCTGACTAATCAAATAATTGCAGCTTAAACTTTCAATTCCAGGCCCAGAACTGAGAGCACTCATAACCCAGTCATCAAGGATGTAATTAGCAAGCACTAATTCTAGGGTCACCAGAACACTGTAGATAAAATGGTTAAAAATTTAGGTTCCTTGCATATGGCATCAAAGTCGCCTTAAAGCAGACCGAATAAATTCCTAGATAAAAATCTTAATTTTAGCTAATCCTTTAAATAGAATCCATTGGTTAACTATGGTTGCAACTAATGCTCCACAATGCTATTCAACAGCAGAGAAATTATAGATCATTAAAACGGACTTAGCTTGCTTTAGCAAATGAAAAACAATAACTTTATGGGCAATTAGTAGTTACCTACAAATCTAGGGGCAAATCCCTCTCTTGGTGAGTGTTCATGTATTTTCATTTTGAAAAAGGATTGGATTAGTGAGTAAAATAACAGAATCAATGGAGCGACTCCAGTTTAGATAGAGTGTCCAAAGAAAGGCTGCGGCAACAAACTAGGTTAATATTCCTGGAACGGGTTAAAGTGCAATTGTGGAAAGTTCATTTCTCCGGCATTCTAAATTTCAAAGACAAAAATTAAGATTATAACGAGCTCTATACTTAACGGCGGTAGCATGAATGGCAATATGAATGGACTTGATTTCGGATCTTTCACTGATAAGCTTTAACTAGAAAAGACAAACTCATAAAATAACTAGTATGTTGGTGTTTTAGGCCTTGATAATTAGATCTTTAACAAAAAGAAAGGTGAGCACATCAATTCTAGAAGTCAGCATAGCAGCACTTACTAACAGCAATCAAATAGATTATCAAGTCTAAATAACAATAACTACGAGGCAATAAGTCCCAAAAGAAATGTGTAGGAATACCAAAAAGTTTTGCATCCTTAAAATTTACTTTTGTAAAAACCTTATCAAATGTCATCCCCTGAGAAAAAGCAATAGCTAGAGTTAGAAAAGATTTACAACTCTTCAGCCTAGAAATAAGTCTCTTACAGATAATAGTACTCTTAGCAGTAGTAGCAATAACAACAGCAGTAAAATTCAAACTAAAAGAACAATGTATTGTAAAACAGTATAAACGGAAGTCTTTAAAATGTGATTATAAAGCCAAGAGGAATCTCAGGCAATATCTAGAATCATTACAGCCCAATTAAAAAGTTGATATTGGTCTGAGTTGTCGTTCAAAACTAAATGGACTGAAATATTAGTATTTATTTATTTATTTTGTAACTTAACTTATAAAATAATTTAAAATAAGAGTTATAACTAATTGTAATTTTACATATATTAAATTTATATTTATTACACATGCTAAATATAAGTGCTGTGGCAGATATAGCTGAAATCTAAAAGAATGCTACCTATATATTCTACCACAATGCTTTTTTGCTCTGACTATTTAAAAGAACAATTCCTAGTTCGATTTCATTACCTTTATTTTGACTTGACTAAACTATCCATCAATTCTCTTTCCCTCTTCTATAAGAATTCAACCCTTTTCTGCAGCTCCCCATTGGACTATTTAAGTTGATACACCTCGTTCATGTCTGCTATTCCACCATTCATTAATGCAGTAGCAGGTCCCATACCTGATCCACCACCTCTGTCAATATTTATTATGGTCTGTTTCAACTCTAGCTTTTCCTCTTCAAGTCGAGCTATTTTCTTCTTTAATTCAGTATTCTCAAGCATTAGAGTAGAAGTCGTATAGTCCTATGATAGCTTTGAATGACTAGACTGCAGACCATCCCTTTAAATAGCCGATCCAATGAACACATTCTCAAGATTCTCAAGTTTGCCATAGAGAGTGTTATTTTCAAACATTACCTGCTCAAAGTCTCTTTCATTTAGTTCCTTCTGGTATCTTAACTGAGAATTTTCCTCTCTAAGCCTCTAAATCTCGAATTCGAATTCTTAAAGCATTCTAAATCCAGCCATTTAACCACCTGCATCGCCATTCATGCCCATTTGCATGCCTGGCTAGAAACTCATTCCACCTACAGCGCCTACTGCACCACCCATTCCATTGAACTGCTTTTGACTTGCATATTACTAAGCGCTAGTGCCTTAACCTATTGGTGGCAGAATAAACTATGATCCATCACCATTGTCAATCTTAAATTATTACTCTAGTTACTAGCCAGTTGGAAGCTGTATTGGCTTACCTCCATTTAGTCTGTATACTTGTTCTTTGAGATATTCATTTTCTAACTTCAATAGGTAGATCTCTCTCTTCAAGTTATAGATGATTTACTCCTTTGCATCCATCTAGATGATTGGCTTATTTTTAATATTCATGGTTCTTGTGGCGTAGTTGAGAGTACTTATTGTTTCTTCAGCCCACATATGTGATGGACTCACACAAGCAATCATAAGTGCCTTAGATGAACCACCTAAACTATCCATGAGCAGCATAGTAAGCTTAGAATCACGATAAGGAATGTACTTCTGATTGATATTATTTGGATTTTTCTCAGAACTAAGCATAGAAATGACCTTACCCAGAGTGAACAAACTTTTATTGATGCTTCCTGTTTCTTTGGCCATCTCTCCCTGCGACTTGCTTTCCTTTAGTCTCTCGCTTCCAGCCAAATCGACGAAAGATATTTTGCCGTATTTTTTGAAGATATGACCATCCTCTTAGGAAACAGTTTCACTAATTAGATAGACTGTAAGGATTGAGTGAGATCTCGAAGAGTCCTTGTTCAACTCATGCGAACCTGATTTACGGTTTTTCATGCCTTCGTGCAACACTGCTATTAAATCCTGCTGACTTGTGCATTCAACCACCATTAAATCTTCAACGAAGAAACCATTCTTCACATTCCATCTGCAGTGGAGAATACCAGATGATGGGTTTAACAAATCTCTAAGCTGTTCATTGTATATTTCGAGGAAAGAGGCTTTGACGTAGAACTACTCTGGTTTCATTGTCATTGATTCCCACATATGGCGCACTGATCTTGGAAATAGACCATCATTATCATCAGATGTCCATCCCTCTCTACCGAGCTTATCTTCAACTCCAGACATAGTATATGTCTTTCCAGAACCAGTTTATCCATAGGCAAAAATAGTAGCAGAATATCCTTCCAGTGCTGAGTTTATAAGTTCCTATAATATACATATAAGTTAATTGCTGTCAAAGACGTTACTTACATGCACTCCGCATTATTAGAACACATCAGCTTACCGAGCCTTGTCATCTAGGACTGCATTGAATCTGAAGCTCTTTGAACCACTCTTCAAGCTTAAAAGCACGTGCTAATTGTCAGGCGCAGTGATAATATTTTCATCACCTCTATTTAATTCATGCGGCATCATAGGTCTCACACGCATCGCTACTCTTACTCTTTCTCCTCCCGCGCCTTGCATTATATTGCTATCACCTCCCTAGCCATAAAATGAATTCATTTGACTGGATATTCCTCCGTTGCCGCCTTCCATCATTTAGCCTTTATGATAGTTATTAGTTTAATTTCTTACCAGCATTCATATTTCCGTTGTTATTAGCCTGCGAACTCCTACTTGCTGGCTTCATTCTACATGATTAGTTTGAATTACTTGTTTTTTAAATGCTAATTATCTTACTGATTTTAGGTAGGCAAACCTTGAACACTACTTGAAACTGAGTTAAATCCTCCGCCCTTGCCGTTTTAGAGGGCAGGAGTGTTCTTTTTATTTGAATCTCTCGAGACTGGTACTGTTTTCTTTGTTTAGTTTTTCATATTATCACTTCTCAATAATAAAATATATAAAAAGAGTAATTAAATTGATAAAAGCATTCTAATTCCAGATTAAAGTAAAAATTAACATTTCTGGGGTTTTGGGGTTTTGGGGTTTTGGGG